CACTACACACACACTANATATATATATATATATATATATATATATATATATATATATATATATATGACTTTCGTAAACAGCTCAGTGAAAACCACACGAACTCAGCGATTTAACTCTGGTTTCTTATTCATCCTACCCGTAACGTTTTCAGTTACGCGTAGTTAAATATTCATAACTAATTCAACAAGCCTATGTTGGCATTATACTATAACTATAACACAAAGCACGACCACTGGACATACCACATAGCGCGCAGTTTCTGATTGGTACAAAGTCTCGTACGCATCCGTTGGCAGCAGTGCCTGTGCCAGGAACAGGTGCGTCACCAAACTGTGGAAGTATTCCCTCACCCCTGTGTGGTATGTGAGTAAATAAGCAGATTAGCTGCAAGCGACACAGTGTACTATGTGAGGAAATAAGCAGGTTAGCTGCAAGCGACACAGTGTACTATGTGAGGAAATAAGCAGGTTAGCTGAAAGCGACACAATGTACTATGTGAGGAAATAAGCAGGTTAGCTGCAAGCGACACAATGTACTATGTGAGGAAATAAGCAGGTTAGCTGAAAGCGACACAATGTACTATGTGAGGAAATAAGCAGGTTAGCTGCAAGCGACACAATGTACTATGTGAGGAAATAAGCAGATAAGCTATATGTGCCACTGAGAGGTGATGGCGCTCCCCTACGCTGGTGTGTCAGCAATAGAATCTCATATGAAAAAATACGCGAAAGCCATAGATCTTCATACTGTAGGTTATAGGAACGTGTGAAATCAAGAGGTGAATATGGCTTGAACTCAACTTCTTTCACTCTAGCAATTATTCCCTTCTTCCGTAAGTACGTGATAGAGTGTGCACGCGGTGTACGTGAGGGAGAGAGTAAATGTGCGACACAGCAGCAGCCAGTCGAATGCAAAGATATACAATAATACGCGCACAGGGCATACGCAAATGCTGAAGTTCGGTACACTTACGCATGAACACACAGACATACATACTAATACGCACGGCATACGAAATTAATATATATATACAAATAACACACATACACACACACACACACACACACATAT